CAATATGCACTGTCAAAATTTTTTATTAGATTAGCCAACATTGTTTTAAATTCAAGAAAATTAAGAAAAAAGATAACCCCAACAGAAAATTCAAATTCTTGTTTTGATAATTCTAACAGAAATGATAGCCATGATGAACCACGAAGATCTCGCAAAGCCCTTAGGAGGAATCCTAGGTACCAAGATGACGTAGCATGAAGAGGTTATGGATGTCTGCATGCAAGACCAAGTTCAAGGCAATCTATTTCACACAAGGAGTGGACATTTATGTTTGTTTTTCTATTAAAATTGAAGTTATTGAATTGTATTTATCACTTGCCTTGAGGATAGGCATCATGTTTCCACTTAGGCTATTTAAACTGGTATTGAGGTGCAACAAAAATCATCAAAATGTTTATTCCAAATTTGTTGTACAATTCTCACCTGAAGAGAATTATTTTTCCACCATTTTATTTGTCTTTGACTAGGACCACTATCAAGTGGTATCAGAGCCACGCCATTTTTAAAATGGCAACTAACAAGGAGTGGATTGAAAGCCTAGAAGCTGGGCTCAGTGTCCTTCAAGAAGGGATGAACCATATGGAGTTGGGAGTTGCTAATAAGTTGAAGGAAAACTTCAATTGCATATCTAAAATGTTGCGATCAACTAGGGAGGGGTCTAATAACACTCTATGCATTAATGACCAAGGAGAAAACCCACAAAATCACCATGATGATAACCCGGGAGACACCGAAGGAATATGATTGGTATATTTGTAAAAAATGGTGAAATTTGAGTTTTCGCTATACACTTGGGAGGACCCGAAAGAGTGGCTCAATTGTGTGCACCAATTTTTTGTATTTCAATCCATTCTTGAAACCTAGAAAGTGAGTTGAAATTCAATGAGTATTCAAGAGAGTAAAAATTGTAATCAGCCGTATATATTATTTCCCAAAGTCTAATGAGGTTAAATAATACAATGGCCAAGGAGAGGAATAATCTAGAAGAGACAGCAGTTAATTTGTTCCTAAAAATGAGGATCTTGTCTGGAATATTTTCACAACAAATCTAGTGTTAGCACTACACCAAATAACCGTAACAAGGATGTTGCTGATGTGGTGCTCCAGCTGGTTTATTATTCTGCTGATGATGTAGCATTCCAGCTGCCAGGTGATTCGGATTATTTGCTGATTGTGAAGGTGGTTGGATAGCCACATCAGTTAACACCCTCCTTCAAGCTAGATGTGCTAGAGTAACTCCAAGCTTGTCCTTCAAATAGATAAACCTTGAGTGATTAAGTCCCTTTGTTAGTAAATCAGCAATCTTATCTGACGTGGGAATATACTTGACATCTAGTTCTCTGGCAATCACTTTATTTCTGATGAAGTGTACATCTAGTTCAATGTGCTTCGTCCTGGCGTGGTACACGGGGTTTGCAGCCAATGTTCCAGCACTCATATTATCACACCAAATGGTTGGAACTTCAGCCAAAGGCAGATCCAGTTCTTGAAAGAGCGACTGAACCCACGCTATTTCAGAGGCAGTTGATGCGAGTGCTCTATATTCTGATTCAGTGCTAGAACATGCTACGACTTATTGCTTCTTGGAGGACCAGCTCATCAGGTTGTCTCCCAGATAAACACAATAACCAGTGGTTGATTTTTTATCATCAGGGCAGGAAGTCCAATCCGCATCTGAGTAACCATTCAACGTGAGTTTGTCACTTCTTTGAATCCAAAGCCCGTGATTTTGTGTCCCCTTGAGGTATCTTAATACCCTCTTTAGTGCCTGCCAGTGTGATGAAGTTGGAGTTTGCAAGAATTGGCTTAACTTATTCACAGCGAAAGTAATATCTGGCTTGGTATATTGGAGGTATTGCAGGCCACTTACAGCACTCCTGTAGGTTGTAGGATTCTTCAGTGTTTCTCCTTCAATTTTGGATATCGATTTGCTAGCAGGTATAGGTGTTATGCACGATTTCACACTCTGCAGTTCAAATTTCTCAAGCAAGTCTGCAATATACTTGGTTTGAGTGAGGTGAATTCCAGAGTTGTACCATAGTACCTCAATTCCAAGGAAGTGGTGCAGCCTTCCCATATCTTTCAATGCAAATTTCTTGTTCAAGTTATCTATGAATTCCTGCAGTAAACCTTCATCATTACCTATAATCACAATGTCATCTACATAGATGAGTGCAAAGATTATTTGATTTTCATTCTTGAAATAAAAAAGAGAGGTGTCTGCCATTGACTGCTTAAATTTCCAGCTCAAGAAGGTGCTTTTTAGTTTCTCATTCTAGGCTCTAGGCGCTTGCTTCAAGCCATAAAGTGCCTTGTTCAATTTGCAGACATGATTTGGCTTCAGTAAATCCACAAATCCCTCAGGCTGATCCATGAAAACCGTTTCTTCCAGCTCACCATTAAGGAATGCATTGTTGATGTCTACTTGCCTGATTGTCCAATCCTTTGTGACTGCTAACGTGAGAATTATTCTAAGGGTTGAAGGCTTGATAACAGGGCTAAATGTCTCACAGTAATCAACACCAGGTGTTTGATGAAATCCCTTTGCCACTAATCTGGCCTTGAACCTTTGCACTGAGCCATCTGCATTTTGTTTGAGTCTAAAAACCCATTTATTTCCCACAACGTTGAATTTTGGTGAATGAGGGACCAGTTCCCAAGTTTTAGCTTTTGTTAAAGCCTTGAATTCTTCCTGTATTGCTTTCTTCCAATCATTGTTCATCATGGCTTCGGTTACATTTTGAAGTTCTGAGGAAGTTTCAGTTGCCTTTCTAAGATAGATCTTAGGTTTAAATATTCCAGCCTTTGCTCTAGTGACCATAGGGTGTAAGTTTCATATTCTGTGCTATAGTACTCCATTGTTACAATTATCAGGCTGCATAGGGGTCTCGCTGATCTAAGGTATATTTGGTTCTTCCTCTGCAGATTCTATTTCAGCATTTTCTTCAATGTTAACAGGTTCATCACCATGTAGTGCTATGTCATTCAAGCCAGAAGGCCAGTGATGCTCTACTTGAGAGGCTTCAGAGAGAGACCTACCAGCAGGACCTGAATTTTTGCTTTGCTCGGAGGGAAATTGAAAAGGAGAGACAATGGTTTCTATCATAGTTGGTTCTGAATGAGTTTTGGTAGAGACTGTAGAATTGAACGGGAATTCCAATTCATTAAATACAACATGCCTTGAAATGTACAGCCTACCAGCAGGACTTATGCATTTGTAACATTTATGTGACTTACTGTAACCTAGGAAAGTGCACTTTGTGGAATGAAAACTGAATTTATGGTTTTGGTAGGGTCTTAGACAAGGATAACAGGCACTCCCGAACACTTTTAAGGTCTGATAGTCAGGTTTCTTATTGTATAAAGTTTGATAAGGTGATTTTTGTTGAAGTACATCTGTTGGCAATCTATTGATAAGATAGGTAGCCGTTTGAAATGCTTCCCACCAGTACCTTAAGGGCAATTTGGCTTGGGCTAGAAGTGTCAGACCTGTTTCTGTTACATGCCTATGCTTCCTTTCTACCTTGCCGTTTTGAGGTGAGGTATAGGGGCAAGGATGCCTGAACTCGATTCCCTCTTGGTTTAAGTATCTAGAGAAGGTTATGTACTCTCCACCCCAGTCTGCCTGCAGAGTCTTAATCTTATAGTTTAGCTTGTTTTCAATCAACTTTTTGAATTGGATGAACACATTCAAGGCTTTAGATTTTTGCTTTAAAGGATAGATCCACGTGAACCTACTAAAGTCATCAAGGAATGATATGTAATACTTGAAGCCTGAGGTGGAAAGGATGGGAGCCTGTCCCCATATATCAGTGAAGATCAGTTCTAAAGGGGCATTGGCGTGTGATGTAGACAGATGAAAGGGTAGTAAGTGCGATTTTCCAAGTTGGCAAGCATTGCAAAATGGTCTGATATCATTTTCCTTAACTTTGACATTACAGAGTTTGAGCACTTGGTTCATCACTTGGCTAGATGGATGACCAAGTCTCTTATGCCATACATCACTTGTGGAATTAAAAGACTCATGACTAGAAGTAACAGGAGATAGACTGCAGAAGGATTTATTATTGAGGACTGAATCTTAAGTGGAATTTTTCACTGTTTGATATGGAAGGTCCAGCTGATAAAGCCCTTCTTTAAGCCTCCCTTGCAATATCACCTCCTTCGTTGACTTGTCCTCGACAAAACAATAATTAGAGTGAAATTCCATGTACGCATCATTGTTAGAAGTTAACTTAGAAATGCTGATAAGGTTCTTTTTAATTTTAGGCACATGGAGGAGTTTATTTAGAACTAGCATTTTGTCATTTAAAACTAGAATATGTAAGGTGCCAAAATGAGAGATGTGCAACTTACTTCCATCTCCTATCATTACTTTCTCCTTACCAGAATATTCGTTGATAGCAGTGAGATTTCCCTTGTCTGAGGTTATGTGGCTGCTAGCTCCAGTATCTGCATACCAAGCTGGATCATTAACTGTGCTGGGACTTGCGATGAGTGCTGCAAGTGATTCGGATTATTTGCTGATTGTGAAGGGTTGGATAGCCACATCAGTTAACACCCTCCTTCAAGCTGGAGGTACTAGAGTTCATACTAGGAGATTCTACAGCAGATGTAGGAACCAATTCTTTCATACCAGATAGCTAAGCAAGAGTTGATTTTCCTCACAATGGCGTTGACTTCCCATATGGACGGCCAACCGGTAGGTTCAACAATGGTTTCAATACTGCCGATTACCTCGCCAAGCTTTTGGGATTAAAGAGAAGCCCACCCCTATCTCTCTCTCATTAACCAGACATCTGGTTACCACAAGCTTCGCAATAGAGGTGTAAACTTCACCTCCGGAGGTTCTAGTCTTCTTGATGCAACTGGATCTAAATTGAATGTTGTGCCCTTATTAGCACAGATAACTCAATTCGCTTCATTGCACAACAATCTTACTAATGTTATAGGCCGAGCAACACTCTCAAAAGTATTGTTCTTCATCAGTGTTGGAAGCAATGACATTTTCGAGTATTTCAGGACAAAATAGTAAAGTACATATAGAGAAGTTCATCGTCAATCTGATGTCAGCATACACTACTCACATTGAAGTCATGTTGGATGATAGGCTTTGTACAACCTTGGGGATACGAAAGTTTGGCATCATTAGTGCGGCACCAGTCGGACGCTATCCGGCCCAAAGACTTGTCCAAAAAATTTTAACTGGTAAAGATGGTTGTTTTGAAGCCATGAACGACATCGCCTTAGCTTTCCAGTAAGCACTCGACACTCTATTATACAACATCAGTTCTCAGCTTCCAGAAATGAAGTACTCACTTGGAAATGGATACAAAATGACCATTGACGTCATAAACGATCCGCGTTACTACAAATTTCATAACACGGATACAACATGCTGTGGAACGTGAATTTTGAAACTACAGCATCGCTTTGTCCAAATCGCAGGAAGTATTTATTCTGGGATTTGTTCCACCCGACTCAGAAAACTACTCGTCTGGCAGCTGAAACCCTCTATTATGGTCCAACACTATATGTGTCCCCAATTAACTCCTCTCAATTAGTAAATGACAATTAGCATAAAACTGTAACCACAAACTTGTGATACGTCTCATTCACTATACAAGAATAAACAGAGATCTTTATTTGATCCTGTCTGTGTCAATGTTGTATTACTGTAATATTAGTAAATATAAGTGTATTCCAAACTCAGGATTCTTAACCATTTCAATGCTGGTTCAGTATCACCTGTGACTTGACTGCCTATGAACTCCTGGGGACACACCTTTGTCCCTGAGATTTACCCCTTAAGATTGTGTCCTCGTATGATCGGCAAAATCATGTTTTTCCACAGCAGAAAGTTGTTTTTGTCCAGCTTGATTGAAACAACTTGAGTGAGGTTAACTCCAAAAGGAGATAAGCTGTTGTTTCCTATCAGAGGTGTGGCTGTGCTGCTAGAAGCTGAAGCTGGTGCAGTGACTAGATCAGCATTTTGGGGGGTATTGGTATTGCCGACGTTTGCCATAATTCAGGCTCTGATACCAAGTTGAAATTCAATGAGTATTCAAGAGAGTAAAAATTGTAATCAGTCGTATATATTATTTCACAAAGTCTAATGAGGTTAAATAATACAATGGCCAAGGAGATGAATAATCTAGAAAAGACAGCAGTTAATTTGTTCCTAAAAATGAGGATCTTGTATGAAATATTTTCACAACAAATCTAGTGTTAGCACTACACCAAATAACTGTAACAAGGATGCTGCTAATGTGGTGCTCCAGCTGGTTTATTATTCTGCTGATGATGTAGCATTCCAGCTGCTAGGTGATTCGAATTATTTACTGATTGTGAAGGTGGTTGGATAGCCACATCAGTTAACAAAGTGTCACTAGCAACTTTCCACTTTGAGGGCGAGGCAAACCAGTGGTGGCAGTGGTTCTGGAGAACATACCGAAATGAAGGGCAAGTACTATCATAGGAAGGCTTTGAGGACGATCTATGGGCTCGATTTGGACCCCGGATTGCAAGGACTTCGATGAGGTCCTTATTGGTCAGGCAAATCTTCTCTCTAAGGGAGTACCAACGTGAGTTTGAAAGCTTGGGGAATCGAGTTAGAGGTTGGACTCAAAAGGCACTCATTGGGACATTCATGGGAGGATTGAAGGCCGAGATTGCAGATGAGATTCGAATGTTTAAACCACAAATGCTGAAGGATACCATTAGTTTGGAAAAAATGAGAGACGATCAGCTCACATGGTAATGGAGGTTCATACGTCCACCACCATTGACGTGAGCCCTTCAGGCCCTTCCGCCAACTTAGGCTGTACATGCGACACCTGCAGTTTGTTTGGCGACTGACCTAGGATGAAAGGCGTGCTCAAAGTTTATGTTTCCATTGTAATAAACATTTTATAGCAGGTCACCGATGCCAAGGACCACAACTTCTTGGAAAGACATGCCATAGTAGATGACTTCGAAGATGACACCTGGAGCAAATAGTTGAATATGGCCAAGAGCCACTACTAGAACTTGGAATCACTCTGCATGCACTATCAGGTTGGACTGCGCCTAAGACCATGAGGGTCTCAGCTAAGATCGCCCCCCAGGAAATTTACGTGTTGATTGATATTGGGTTTACCCACAACTTCATCAACAATCGTATCATCGACCTATTTCGACTATATGCCAATCGAACCAATGGCGGGTGCTAGTAGATATGCAGTGCATTCCATTCATGCTTACACTATATGCCATTCATATCCCCAGCCTTGATGTATTGCTTAGTGTGCAGTGGTTAGAGATGTTGGGCCCATTCGTGTGTAACTCGAAGACACAGACCATGAAATTCCAGTGGGGCAATGAAGTAAAAAAATTTCATGGGACTGAACAATCACCTAATAAAATCGTCTCACTTAAAGAAATGACTTGGGAAGTACACTAAGGACATTCTTTATTTGCTGTATACCTACATCCCATGACCAATCCAGATAAAGTAAGCTTGCACCCTGACGTGCAGAAGTTATTGGAGTAATACACAGACATATTTGAGGAGCCTACCAAACTACCACCTGTAAGGGAAGTAGATCACTGCATTCCACTTAAAGAAATGATCGAGCCCATTAATGTTCTGTTGTACCGTTACGTTTATTTCCAGAAAACAGAGATTGAAAAGAAAGTGTAAGAGATGTTCCACAAGGGAATTATAAGACCACAAGTCAATTTTCATGCCCAGCGCTCTTGGTCAAGAAGGATGGAAGTTGGTGATTTTGCAAAGATTGCTATGCACTTAATGTAGTAACCGTCAATGATCACTTCCCAATCCCAATGGTAGAAGCCATGCTCGATGAGTTATACAAGGCTGCGTTTTTTACAAGGCTCAATCTCAGGATATGATCAGGTAATAGTTCATCTTCAAGATGTCATTAAAATTGTCTTTTAAACCTATAATGGCCACTATGAGTATTTGGTAGTGTAGTTTTGCTTATGCAATGTTCCATTAACCTTTCATGTCATTATGAACTCCATTTTTCACCCTTACCTTCGAAAATACATCTTGGTATTTTTGATGATACATTGATCTATAGCCCGATATGGGAATAACACTTATTACATGTGGAAAAAGCCTTAAAGATTTGAAGGCAACAACAAGGCCATGAATTCTACTCCCACATTAGCCATGCCTAAGTTCAATGAACCATTTATCACTAAAATCAATGCATCCGAAGAATGGATAGAAGCGGTGCTTAAACAATAAAGATGACCCATGGCCTTCATGAGTCGAGCCATGGGAGTGACCAAGCAACTTTGGTCCATCTACGCTAAAGAAATACTAGCCATTGTGAAGGCTATCCATATATAGTGACCATACCTCTTGGGAATGAAGTTCTTCATTCACACAAATCAACACAGTCTTAAAAATTTTTGGAGCAACATATGACCACCTCGGAGTAACATAAATGGGTATCTAAACTACTAGGCTATGACTATGAGATTGTCTACAGGCTAGACCATGAAAATTCAGTGGCGAATGCATTGTCTCGCAAACCTGATTTGTCCTATTCTTCCTAACCTTTCAAATTTTTATTAACCACAGTGCGCAATAATTGAATCATGGTCCTATTGACTCTTTGGTTTGTCCATCGGTTTGTAGGTGACATGTAGTAGAAAACAACAATTTTGTGCCTAACTTACCTCACAAAACCCACAAAAAATGACTAAGAAATTTGACATCTCTATTCGACACTATACTCTTTGGGACCCCGTGTAAAAGCATTATTTCCTTAAAGAACAAGTCAGCAATGCTAGTGGTATCAGTTTTATGACATTGAATGAAATGTGTCATCTTGCTAAACCTATCAACCACAACACATATGGAATCTCATCCCCTTTTAGTCCTAGGCAAACCCAAAACAAAGTCCATGGAAATATCAACCCAAGATTCACTAGAAACGTGTAAAGATCTATACAATACTTGGGGTAGAACCTTAGATTTAGCATGTTTACAAGTTATGCATTGATCACAAATTCGTTCTACATCAATTTTCATTTTAGGCCAATAAAAATGTTTTCCTAACATCTCTAAGCTCTTTGTAACCCCAAAGTGACCCATTAGACCTAGTATGTACTTCTTTTACCAACAATTCTCGCATAGAACAATTAGGAACACATAGTTTATTTTCCCGAAACAAATACCCCTCATGCCTAAAGAATTTATCTACCACCCATTTATTACATGATTCGTATATACCGGAAAAATCTAGATCATTAACATAAATGTCCTTAATGTATTCAAAACCAAACAATTTCGCACTTAAGGAAGTTAGAAGCACATACCTTCGAGATAATACATCCGTCACCACATTCTCCTTTCTTTGTTTGTACCGGATGACATAATGAAACGTCTCGTTAAATTCCATCCACCTTGCATATTTTTTGTTCAACTTACCTTGACCTCGTAAATGCTTCAATGACTCATGGTCAGTGTGAATCACTGAAATAAGCTATCGGCCTCCTATCCTGTGTCAAAATTGCTCCAATACCTATACCTGATGCATCACACTCAATCTCGAAAGTTTTGTCAAAGTTAGACAGTGCTAAAATCGGTGCTTTATACAACATATCCTTAATAGTGTTGAATGCATGCTTTTGTTCATCTTCCCATTTAAATCCTATACTCTTCTTAACAATTTTAGTGAGTGGCGTGGCAAGTATGCTAAAATCTTTTACAAATCGCCTATAAAAACTAGTTAAACCATGAAAACTTCTTACCTCGGTTATACTTTTAGGTGTTGGCCATTATTTAATAACTTTTATTTTCTCTTCATCTACTTCTATCCCTTTAGCACTCAACACATATCCTACAAAGACAACTTTCTCCATGCAAAATGTACACTTCTTATAATTAGCATAAAATTGTTCTTTTCTTAAAACTACAAGCACAAATCTTAGATGTTTTATATGTTCATTAAGGTCCTTATTATAGATTAAAATTTCATCAAAGTAGACCACAACAAACTTTCCTATAAATGCACGCAACATTAAACATATGAAAGTGCTAGGTGCATTAGCGAGTCCAAACGGCATAACCAATGTAACGACCCGACCTCTCATCGGAGCCGTTATCTTACGTATTGTCCACTTCGGGAGAGCCTAGGCTCATCTTACCTCTCACGGCTTTCTGATGTGTCTCCCAAGATTTGAATCCAAGACCTCCATCATATGGGAGACTTAAGTTGAATCCTGATACCAATTACCCAATTGGTACCAGGATTCCACTTAAGTCTCCCATATGATGGAGGTCTTGGGTTCGAATCTTGGGGGACGCGTCAGAAAGTCGTGAGGGGTAAGATGGGCCTAGGCTCTCCCGAAGCGGACAGTACGTAAGATAACGATTCCGGCGCGAGGTCGGGTCGTTACACAATCAATATAGGTCCCACATTACCACTAAGGACTCTTAGATGCTGTAAGAATCTCCTAAACCAAACAGCTTCATATACCATTGAAGCACA